ACTACCTGGGCATTGGCTTTTCTATGCCTTCATCAAATAGAAATGTAGAATTGGGTTTTTCTACAAGAAACTGTCTTTTTCCTCATATTTCTAAATCTATCCCTGGCACATCGATCAGCTTTCAGTATACAATTTTTAGCTTTAAATTTAATTTTGCTTTAACATTAATCAGAATAGGGATGTTACTTGTGGTATCATACCACCCACCGCCATATGCCTTTCTTCCCTCATATCCTCCCTTAACCTCTGCCCCTGTTTTCCTCTCTCTGCCCCTCCTCCTGCCTTTCTGGATTTTAAGTGCTACCAAGGGTAGTGCATAGTCTCACCTACAATGCTCAAGGGTCGCAGAGGTTGCCATTCTAAATTGTGTGTGTGTTGTTTCATTGTAGAAAATGATTTAAGGAGGTTTATAAATACATGTAAAGAACAAAATTAAGTATTTAAGGAAATGAGTTCAGTGGTAAGGGCAAAATTATGCTAGGAAAATATGATGAAGCTACAGGTAAGGTTAGTATCCCACTACAAGCCATAGGCCCTACCCTTTGATAGAGATGGGGTGTCAAATCAGCCCCTGAGCTACCAGACATCACAAAATAGGAAACAGTTGGTTAAATGATTCATGTTTCCTGAGATTTAAGGAAAAAAAAAATCAGTTGCCTGGGAGAATCACAAGTACTCTGAACACGGAGACCCAGGAGAAATTTTGCCTACGAGTCCTCATAAAGGGGAGAATAGTGCGAGATAACGAATCATGTCAACAACATCCCTACAGTAAAGAGAGTAATGAGTTTCATGGGGATAAGTTGCACAGTTTAGTCATAGTAATTGTCAAAGCCAACCTCTAATAAAAAGTAATGTGTCATAGCAAAATGCTGAATATTTAAAAGTGCATTTCATCTTCCCAAAGGTCAGGGAAAAAATGAATCTCTATTGGCCAAAGCAAAACCTTTGAGAATATAATTAAATGTATTGAATCCTTTAATGAAAACCTACTCTTAGAGTATAAGTCAATGGGACCTTTACTAAATTTAACCATCTTTAAAAAACTACTGGAGCAGCTTTGGCAAGTCCACATGCTAAACGTCAAGGGACATAGGCAGTAATTGTATGTATGATCCACATATATACTTACACTATATTTGTGTGTGGGTGTGTGTATACGTATATCATTTTTTCAAGTACACACTTTGCACTCCAGTGAGAGCAGATAGTCGTGTTCGGGTAAGTGGCTTACTAATAGCCATGATGGAGCTACCAAAACACCCTTTTCTGCAGGCAGTTAGCAGTTGATGCGACCAACGGTGGCGAGAATGGCCATGCAGTGATCCTATTGGTTCTTCAGCGCAGGTGGTGGCCGCGCCCCCACCCACACCAGACTGGGCCGGTGCGGGGCCTTTCTGTGCCCTGGGACCTGGGATGCCGAGCATCCTACAACACAGTCCCATGCAGAGAACAGTCCTGAGCAAGTTGAGAAATCCTGGGACACCAAGCATGACTACATCAACGGGTACTCTCACACACCTACGTTGAAGATTGCTTAAAAGTGACTGCGTAATTCTTCCCACCTCTCTCCTTTAAAGATTGTCAAAAACAAGTTTTACGACCCCCGAGGCCCCCGCGCTGAACCGTTAACTTCCATTTCACCCACTCCCCCAGGGCTAACGCCTGAGCAGGACAACTGTGCTGGAGGCTGAGGACGCACCAGTGGGGGCTGGTTGGAAACGTCCAACAGTACACAACCACTCATTCCCTCAAGACCTACGCTGGGGTCTGTACTTGGTCTGCCGTTGGATTTGTTTGGTGGCAAGGGCAGTGAAATGGAGAGCGGGCGTCCCGGTTCCGCGTCCACCAGCTCAGGAGGCGCAGGTGGCAGACCCTTCGCCTGGGATCCGGGAGCTCCGCCACACTCGCCGGTGTGGGCCTGCCCTTCCCCACCGGCCTCCCACTCCGGACGCCCTCCGCCTTCCCCAACACTGGAAGAACCGTCCACTGAGCCCACCGCGCGAGGCGCCCCGAGGGCCTAACCGCCTCCGGCGCCGCAGGGTGGGGGGGGGGCCTTTTCGCCAGACTCGCCCCACCTTCTTTCCGGCTATGCTCTAAAGAGCTTCCTCGTTGCCCCCTTGCCGGCGGCTCCTGTAGGAGCTGGCGCGCCCAGCGGGGGCCTTTATACCCCTGCGGACGCCGGGCCGTGCGTCACAAAGCCCCTCCCTCCCGTTGAGGGCCCGCGCCACGACGGAAGGAGGCGGAGCCTCGGCGCCCCCAGCCAATGGGGAGCAGAAGGGGACAAAGGCTGGAACTCCGCTGGGCGGGCGCGCCTCGAGTTTTCTGACAGAATAGGAAAGGGCGTAGGGAAACTGGCGTTTTCAAACGGCCAGGAGTCAGTCAAGGCGACGGCCTCTGCGCTTTTGGTCGCTCAATATAAAATAAGAGCTGTTGTAGAAGGAAAGAGAAATAAGATTTATGGCAGTTCTCGCCGTCACCGCCGCGCCTCTTCACACTACTCCCTCAGCCCAACATAATGTTACTTTTCAGTCACCTTTTCGAAGAATTAATGTCACGGTATACATGACAAACACTAGTATAAAGAGAACGACTAATTTCATGCAACACAGTACTTTCCCTCTTGAGAAAAATCCCCTGTGGAAAGAATTTGGCACCAATCCTGAAGCTTCCAGTGTCCGTTAATTCGGGTCTTGCACAACCTCGGGCGCAACCGGTCCTCCCCAAACCACACTGGCAGCAGCCCGCGGCGTTTCAGACCAAAGCGAGGCAAGGCGGACTCCTCTCACCCGCTCTCTCACCAGTCAGGCTCACAGGTTTGTACTGGCCGTTAACCACCACCATAATCATGAGGCCCAAATTCCAAACAGGCTTCATCGTCATCCATTTTCATATATTTAAAAAACAAGAACCACTGGAAATCAACCATCAAATAACATCTTCGGGGCATCTATCTGATAAAAACTTTTTTTTTTTTTTAACTCAAACAGTTAAGGCTTCCAGAGCTCTTAAAAATAAGAGGCAATGTTAAGGCTCTGGTCTACATCTATGATGCACAGAACACTTTCTATGGATATTAATTCATCCATATAATAATTACTGAATGCCCCTTATGTGGCAGGCTCCCTCTTCTCACGAAGATTATATTTTAAAAGGAGAAATGCTAATTTTACACTTTGAGTGTGATGACAGGTCTGCAGATGGTACATTTTTTTGTCCTTCATCCCTACCCCCAGCCCTGCTTTGGTAGATAGAAGTGAAATGAAGCTGTCATGATTTCTGATGGTTTGGTTCATAATACATTTAACCATCAAAGATAGAAACTGACCTACTAAAAACCCCAAGTACAAACCCCCTTTACGGTGTCTTCAGGGAATTAGAGACATTTATGCTTATGTAGCCAAACCTTAACAGGCCATCTTGGACACACAGGTGTTAGGTACCATGCAGAATATCTGAGACTCACGTCAAGCCCTTACTCTTTCCACATTTCTTCCATAAGTGTTTTGTCCAAGTCCCTCTGAAATGCAAATTGTTACAGTGAAAACATTTAACCAAATATTTTCAAACCACCATTTGCTGCTTTGATTTCTAGAACTCCTAACGATTCCATGCGGTTTTACAATCTTCTTGTCCTTCCCCTTTCAGTCACTAGGGATTTAAAGGCAAAATGCAAATCTACTTTGTTTTCCATTACTCCCTGCTCCCCACCCTTAATTTACGGAATTTCAAGGTTCTAGGTTGGACCTCTGCCTAATTCAAATCTCATTTAGTCCATTTTCACCTGACGACATCCTTCTTTAAAACTCAGCTCACAGGGCACCTAGGTGGTTCAAATGGTTAAGCATCTGCCTTCAGCTCAAGTCATGATCTCCAGTTCCTGGGATTAAGTCTGTGGGGCTCCCAGCTCAGCAGGGAGTCTGCTTCTTCCTCTCCCTCTGCCTCTCCCCCTGCTTGTGCGCTCTCTTTCAAATGAAGAAATAAAATCTTAAAAAAAAAAAATAAAACTCAGCTCAGGAATATCCTAGTTTAGAAAGCCAATCGGTTAGAAGCATTTCCTCAGTGGCCCCACGATAATATACTCTAGGAGCACAGCCTTGCTATAGAATTCTGTTCCTGTTGGTCTCATCTCTCAGCTTTACAAAATACTTAACAAAAGATGATAACCTAGGGCAGCGTTTCTCTAATTTAGACCACCTGAATTAGCATCATTTTTAGGAGCTTGTTAAAAATGCCTTCCTAAGCCCTATCTAGTACCTCCTGAATCAGATTCTCAAAAGAGGGCTGATTCGTAAAACTAGAATTTGTGAACCACTGGCCTGTGATTGGAGAAAGTGTAACCTAGAGCTCACTCAGGTCATAATACTCCCAGGCAACTAGAAGCTACAACTCAGCCCCCTTACTAGTTTTCACAAGAAAGCCAAGTACAATGCACTGAGTGATTTACACTTTATAGAAGAAGGGGCACATCTTCTATGGACGGACTTTCCATCCTCCTGCTCCCCCCACCCCCCGCTGTCTTTTTCTCTTTCTGGATTTCCTCTTCCTAGCTTCTAAGTCTCCTCCCTCTACTATGTGTCTTCTTAGGATGATTTGAGCTTAACCATTTTTTTTTCTACAAAATATACCACCAACAGGATTCTAAAAAATTATACCAAACAGTACATCATGACTATGAATGTGTATCTTCATGGGTGCAGAGCCATATTTGTATACTTACCACTACAATTTGCTTAAGGAAGCAACTGACTAGGAAAGTTATACAGCAAAGAAATACACACGTGTGTATTTTAGAAATCAGCTATGCGCTGTCCTTTTAGATGGCAAAAGTAAAAAAGTGGAAATTCTATAAATGACTTGTTCAGTATGCAACAATAAATTCCTACTTTTCTGTAACATCTGAAATCCTTCTTCACTTGGTCAAATACTTAGCTATCATGTGTTAAAATCAAAAAGACACCTAACCTAATAAAAAAAATCTTAAATATTTTAACCACAGTGTTACATATATTACATTAGACCATGCCTCCAAAGTGTGTCAAATCATAAATATGTTCAGAGTACATAAATATACATTAGAGATTTCTTTCATCATAGGCAAAATCTAATACAAAAATACATTTGACACTCATAAATTAGAAGATCCATTTGAGAGCCTCCAAAATAGGAATGGGGAAGGAGTACGTGATGCCAACAAAGCACACATAGATGCCAACTTGTTCTGGTTATATGATTATTTTCTTCATCCGCGAGGGGTAAAGAGCAATTTACACCAAGCTAAGTTTCCAGGCAGATCACAGTTCACAGATTGGATAAGTCATGGCATGCAGGCCAGAAAAATGTCACGAATTACTCCACTCAAAAATGTACTCAGATTTCAGTCAATCTAATGGTACCATATACCTGTACTGTGGTTTTGTTATTTTAGAGACTTTAGAATCATCATCTACCCCATCTCCATACTCTACCACCCTGTTAACACACATAAACCACAGGATGAACCAGGGGCTATCCTGCACCAAACATAGGAGACAGTTTATAATCAAACCTACTCTCTATTAAAGTGGTATTGTATAGTTGTCTATGCAGGTAAGTGAACTGGACACAAAATTATTTGAAACCCTGAAATCTCTCTGGAGAGATACAAATAAATTTTTAAAGCAGTTAGTATAGGAACAACTTTTCATTTTAAAGTACAGGGCTTTATGTAATCTCTGAATACTGAATAATAGTTCAAACAATATTTGAACTGAAAATTCAAGTAAGTATGAACTAAAGCAAGAACTTCGTGATTCAGAATGCTCCACAATCATAACTGGGAAGTTTGCCTCATATATGCTATACCCAAAGAGGACAAAATGGCAAGAGCCATATTTTACAGATTCATAATGTTCTTCCCTCAAGCCTTGATGAAATTAGGTATCCAATATTTTTAAACACCAATTTTTCTCTTCAGAAAGCATCTACTTGGCTTCTGGATCTACTCATTCACTGAATGTAAGATAGCAATCTTTTCTCTCTGGCTAGTGTCAAAAATCTATGCAGGATTCACACCAGAAAGAAAGTCAACGTGAATAAACACTTGGGAAGTGAGGAATCTTGAATATAGTTTAGTCAAAGTCAGTGAGGAATAATTATTTCTTTCAAAGAAATGATCATTCCCTCAAAACCAGATTAAGTAGGTTAAAGCTGTCAACATTCTAGCTGCTCCTCTGTTTTATTTTGAAAAGAAATATTAAAGTATTAACATCACATGAGATCATGCTTCAGCTAAAAGGATATGTACATGACACCCCAAGATGATACTCTTTAACTCAATATAAATTTTAAAAAGTCTAACCTTAAGCCTGAGCCAAGTTAGTCACACAATTATGGCAGAAATTCTTAAGTGGCTGAGGTATTTAGACTCTTCCAAACCACAGGTGTGCAGTACTGGACAAAGAGGTAAATTAAATGACAATAAAAATTAGCAATGAAGGATTAAAAATTAACTTTGAATTCCTTTTATAGAATAACCTGAGCTAAGGAGAAAATGATTAAACCCTGGCAACAGATAGCCCAGCAAAGCCTTCACGAGCAAATATTCTGAGGCAAAAAAAAACCTATGTTCATTCAAGAATAACCTTTTCAAGTAATTTGTTAAAAGACTTCCAAAAGCTGGTAATTAGACAATTTATCACAAAGAAAAGGAAACTCCTAAAATGTAGGTATTATTTATCTAGCCTATAGACTAGACCTTCTAATAAACTAGGAAAATAGTTCTATTTTTGGTTGTAAAACTATCTATTTGCTCCTACTTCATTGGCTTTCAAAGGAAATAAAGTGTGCATTACTGTAAAACATTCTGCAGACAATCTGAAGATAAGCATTTTTTGATGACACAACTTCAGCTGAAGAGCATTTGTGTTTTAATAAGGAAAACAAAATTCTGGGTTATTAACATTTTTTTAACAAGAATATTCTATCTGGGATCAGGAGATCTGCGTTCTAGTCATTGCTCCACTGCTAACAGGAATAATCAATTGGGACAAGTCAATTAGCCTTTTTGTGCCTGAGTTTCATTGTCTAGACAATGGGGATAAGAATATCTGTGCTGTGCTATGCTATTCACAAGTTAGAGGATAAAGGAAAACACTAGAAAGCACTTTTTTCTTTCAAAACACAATAGAAACGCTATGTCATAATACTGTTGATAATTTTACAGGTACCTCCTAGCGTTACCCAGTCAGATGTGTGCTTAAGGTAGGCGTTCCTAGAGGATCACAGGTTGAATATTTAGTTTGATTTTATTTTAAAAATAATAAATCACAAAACTAAAATGTTTGAACAAGGTCACTTAGCCCTCTCCCCAGGTGGTTAGTTATAATTACTAGGATCATCATCATTACTTCTCAGCTATATGTTTAAAAGAGGAGATCTTGAATATGTCAGCCTAAGTCGGAAAATGTGTCCCTGGCACAGGTGGTTTTCAGAAGAAAAGCCGATCTTCGGAAGAGCTGTGTCCTCTGCTTTTATTTTAAAGTGCAGAACCTGGTGGGGAGGGACAGAGCAGAAACCCCGTGTCGTCACTGAGGAACCAGTTCCCTCAGAGAGGCCAGAGCAGCATGGATGCGGACATGCAATCTGTTTTCAAAGTCGTAGCCAGAGAAATCCTCCTGCAAGACCAAAGAAAGAGGGTTATGGACTCTCTTAGCTAAGCTTTCTGAAATACTGCAGGATAAACCACATGGCTTTGTGCTTCCCAAAATAAAATCCCTAACACTCCTACCAACAACTTCCCATCCACTCGATTTTCTTATTCCCTTAAACCTCAAACTTTGGGTTCATGTTAAACGTCCAGGGGAATGTCATTATTGCCGTCTTTGGAAAATTTTCTTCATGTTATTCCTGAAACGGTAGTCTTAAATTGTGCTCAATCTAAGTTGCTGTTAGAAATTCTTCACTCAAGATTGTAGTTATGAATCGAAGATTATTTTCCCAAACAAGAAGTGTGTTTATAAAGTGGGATAGGCAATTTCATGAGTTTCTTAGGATATTGGTAAATTTCACTTTAAAAATCAAGCAATCATGGGGCACCTGGGTGGCTCAGTCGGTTGGGCGTCTGACTCTTAGTTTTGGCTCAGGTATGATCTCAGGGTTGTGAGATCAAGCCCTGTGTCGAGCTCCACACTCAGCAGGGAGTCTGCTCAAAATTCTCTCTCCCTCTTCTCCCTCTGCCCCTCCCTCCCGCTCTCTCTGATGCACTCTCTCTCTCCAGAATAAATAAATCTTAAAAGAAAAAAATCAAGTGATCACTGAATCAATTAGTTATTACTTTTCCCTTCCAGAAATATCCATCAGAACAATCATCTCACAAAACTTCTTGAATTCAGACTCAAGAGGACACAACAGTTAGGTAACAAGCACCCTGGAAAGAGGTGGTAGGTACAGTATTTTTACCTTTGCTTGAAGAAGTAGAGTTCTGCCTCTTGCTACAGTCTATGAATGTAAGAAAAACATATTATCTCTTAATATCTACATTTATACATACTCAAGCAGAAAATGCTTATTATAAGAGGATAGGTAAATGAAAACAATTCTCAGTAGACACAGAGGCGAGTCAGCTGCTCATTCAAGTTTGGTGACTCCATTTTTCTTTAATGATGCTTACAAGTTTGCATCAAGGTACTGATAAATAATTGTGCACAATCCTCACAATTCTGTAAGAGAGAACAACTGAGAAGAGTTACTATAGCTTACGATCTTACTGAACAACCTAAAATTGATGACAATTAAGAAGTTTACTTGATGTCAGTAAGTTAGATCTCCTTTTGAAGGCATTACTGGTTGAGGATATCAACTTCATCTTTCAAGAAACAGACCAGGCTTGTTATATATTAAGTATATATTTTAAGGCTGCATTAAGAGTAAAAATGTTCTTAAAGAATACAGTGTTAGGATCTTCTACCAAAATTCACAAAACTTGCCTTTTCTATTTTGGTAAAATTAGAATTTCAAATGAAAAGACTTACCAATTAAAAGCCTATCTTTGGTGAGATAGGCTACCTGTTTAAGGGTTAGGCTAGAATCCTATTTATGTTGATTTAGCTCAACTTCTAGAAAGTCCACATATTTGAAAGTGGAAGTGAACTTACTAAAAATGAGACTTTTATAAAGCTAATATTTTATAACTGAGCTTCTGAAAGAAAGTATCAAGCAAATCCAGTATTTTTTTAAACACTGTCCCAGTGTACTTAAATACACAATAGTAACGATCAAATTTATAAGATATTCTAAAATTTTTGAAGCAATCATCACATCATCCTCATTTATTCTCATCATAATCTCTACTAACTTGGCACAGCGGGTATTTTTTTATCCTGTTTTATATTAGGAGGAAGGTATGCAGTTAACCAGTATCCTATACTGAGTTAAACAGAGAAATGGAACCATAATGCAATTCTGAATAAGCCACACTACACCATGTCATACCATCCTTAAAAAGGCAGTGATCTCCCACTCAAATGAGTTTTGGTCCAAAAAGTTACACTTATACTTGTAATTCCAGAGAAGAAGTTACTTCCTTCAACACAGTAAGATAGGATTAGCAGCTTCCTGGACTCATCCTACAGGAAATCAAGAAAAACAAAACAAACAAACAAACCCCACTATGTTCAATCAATTGACTTGAAGTGAAGGACAGATGCTTTGTGCCTGCTCACTTGCACTTTTTTTTGCCAAGGAACATCATTTAAGGAACTATATAAGATCTTACCTCTGGTTTATCTAACAGAAGGCAGCCAAGTTCATAGCAGGCATATGGCTGAACGTATAAGTTATTCTGACGACACAACTCATCTTTAACAGCTCGCTGGAAGAACTGAAAGTAATACAAATGTTATCAGAATTAAGTCATTTCCCTACATAAGGTGCCTAACCTCTTCAGGGGCAGAAAGGGGGGACTTATTTCTGTATTCTAGATCAGATTTTCTCTTTTTTTCCCTTTGAATCTTTATTTCTTCCTGTCCATCCTCATCCATATCTCAGAAGTTCCCCACACGCTCCCCTCCAGGTTATGCTCCCATCAGTCAGCCCAACTCGTGCTACTTATTTTTCCAGTTGACACCCTAGCCTCTACTGATCGTATTGCCAAAAACATCTTTATCTGCATCTCCAAGTCTGAACATATCATTTTAGTATTTAAAACAGAAAGCCCACAAACCATCCCTTGACATGCGTCTTGCTGATATCTAAGCATATGATCTAAAACAGGCTATTTAGAACTGTATAATAACTATTATGACTCCACACTGAGAAATTTGAAATTGTAATACAAGTACCTTAACACCCTAGGATTTAAAAGTCAAAGGCCTCTACTACTGTACATAAACTCTTTCAAAGAGTAATCAAAATAACACTAAGGTATACTTCAAAACATCCAACCACACAAACACCTCAGAAAAATCCCAACTATATTTGAAAATAATGAAAGGTTCTTTTCCATATAAGATGTACCCCGAAGAGCCTAAGCTAACACCTTTCTAGACCTCACCTCCAGTGCTGCATCAGTAATCTGCCGCTGCAGAGACAAGAAAGGTGAACACACGGACACACCTGATCATTTTTGTATTTCTCTTAACGATGAAGCTTCATTCTGTTCCTTTAAAACTATCTGCATCCTCATTTCCTTCTCTGAGACTGTCATCTTTGATAAGTAGCTAGTGTCAGAAAAGAAGCCTGTATGTAAAGAAATATTCTAAGAATCTGAAGTTACATTAAAAACTAGTATTAACCATCATCAACTTCTGGCATCTTAGATGACCTGAATCAGTATGGTGGATCAAACTCACACTGTCGTGGGAGGTTCAGTTTTGTTGAATGCATTTCTCATTTTTCTTATTACTAAGCATACATATAGGTTTTCAGTTTGTTAGCCACAACAGCAGCATTAAACAGTTTACCTGAACAGCATCTTCTGAGTTTCCTAGACATTTGTGTATGGCACCAAGAAGCAAATACTTTAATCCAACGACAGATGAATCATCCACTGCGTGGCAAGCTTAAAGAGAAGTGAAAACAGCAGGAAGAATATACATTCCCTTAATTTCTTAAATATCATCAAGAGTTAAGTATTTCATTATTTAGTGACTTATTCACAGTTCATGATCCTGCCCCCTGATACTCAGAAGGTTCCTTTTCCTCAACCGGTAGTGAATATCCTTATTCAAAGAAAGGCAAAGATATCAAACATCATAGCAACAAAAAGACTAGAGATTGCATCCTATTGTTACTAAGAACAAGAAACCAATCTAAAAAGGCTGCATACTGTCTTATTCCAACTATATGACATTCTGGAAAAGGCAAAACTATGGAAGCACTACAAAAGATCAGTGGTCATCAGATGTCCAGAGGGGTGAGGAACAGATGGAGGACAGAAGATTTTTAAGTGAAACTATTTGGTATGATGCTACCTATAAGAGTGGATACATGTCATTACACATGTGTCAAATCACATAGAATGTACAAAACAAAGAGTGGCCCCTAACAGAAAACTAAACCTAATGATGTGTCAGTGTTGCTCACTGGCTATAACCGATGTATCGATCAGGTGGGGGATGCTGACGGGGGAGGCTGTGTGGACGGGGTAGTGAGGGGCATGGCAGGTGAAAACTCTGTATTTTCTGCTCAGTTTTGCTCTGAACCTAAAACTACTCTAAAAAATTCTTTTAAAAACTCCATATTAATGTCATAAGCCATACAGTGGGCACCTCCAAATGTTTGTACTGATGCACTGCACTGGTCACCGAGGGGGGATCAGACGTAATCCCTCCACTTCAAGAAGCTCACCACCTCCTGTGTAGGATGCGTACACATATAGGAGGATGTTACCGAAGTTTTCCAAGGACATGAGAAAGGTGGAAATTGGAAACACAGTGGAGCTAATAGGAGAGGAAAGGAAGTAATTGTTTCTGTGGACCAACAAAGATATTGAGATTTGGTAAGATTTTACAGACACATATATATGCACAATCATTTGTATGTGTGTGTATATATGCATATACATTTATATACACATAAAATGTTCAAAGTTCCAGAACAAGTAATTGAAAGAGTTTGGCACTGTAGCAAAGAGGTAACTGTGAACCTATAGAAGCAGGAGTTGTCTCAAAAAGCTAGGCTGGGAATACCTCCTTATAAAAAGACCTCAGGGGGCACCTGGATGGTGCAGTTGGTTAAGCATCCGACTCTTGGTTTCAGCTCAGGTCACGATCTCAGGCTCGTGGGATGGAGCCCCGTGTCAGGCTCTGCGCTCAGCACAGAATCCACTTAAGATTCTCTTCTCCCTCTGCCCCAACCCCCTCTAAAATAAATAAATCTTTAAAAAAAGATTTTACAGCAAGAGTATCAAGGAAAGGGGACCACAGTTTATGCGCTCATTCATTCAATATTTACTGAAAATCTACTATGTGCTAGACAGTTCTAGGTGCTTGGAATACAGCAGTGACAAAATAGAAAAAAATTTCTGCCCTTAAAAAACTAACATTTTGTGGAAAAGCTAGATGATACAAAGGACAAACTGGTAAAACACATATGTTAAAAAAGTGTTGGTGCTAAGGTAAAAAAATAAAGTCAGGAAGGGGGATGGAAGTATGCACGTATGTCAGAAAGGTACAATTTAAGCCTCAATGTAAAGGTGATATTGAGTAAAGACCTGAAGGAAATGAGTCAAGGAGCCATGTGGATATTGAGAAGAACATCTGCAGGTGGAAAGAAGAGAAAGTGCCAAGGCACTGTGGTCAGCATGTGCCTGGTGTGTTCAAGAACAGTAAGGAGTGTGGCTAGAGCCTGGTGAGCGAGGGGGGAGGGCAGTGAGAGGCAGTGGGATGGGGAAAATGGGGTGGCTGGTGGACAGATCACAGAACACTGCAGGCCACTGAATAGACTTGGACATTTACTTTAAGTAAGATGAAACCACAGAGGGTTCTGAGCCGCAAAATGACATGTGACTTTAATAGGATCACTCTGGGTGCTGTGCTGAGGATATACAGAAACATCCTTACAATGCAGAGGAAGAATGGAGTGCATAGGGGAGGGTGGGTCAGGGGAAGGGCTATGAGTGAAACCACAAGGATGGAAAAATCCAACCACACGTGTCGATGAAGGGAGCTGCAGATGAGGACTCGGAGAAGGAGAATGCACAAAGCTGGGTGGGCATTTAAGTAATCACCCACTACCCATTTTTTCTGGAACTACACTATTTCTCTATAAAGATCTCTGTACTCTACACAGCAGAGCAGACTGGGATCATGACTGCTTAACACTGGGGAATGACAGAAACTAATTGATCTCAAAAATGCACTAATATTTAACAAAGATATTAAAGAATTATACCATATTTACTCAAGAGCCTCCCTTTCCCCATGACCACATCTTTGCTATTTATTTTGATACCTGGAAAGGGGTTCTGAGACTATTTTGTCACATTAAGTGATAATCGTTCTTGTGCCTGCCGATTATAGCCTATTTTATATTTGCATTTGTGTCTGAATTATCTCTATAGGACCTTGCATTTGCGCATTACAAAGAACACTTAAAATTCTGTATTGTTACTTTGAATTAGACATTGGTAGATATTCTAGACTTACATCAACAACTAGGGATGGGTTTAAAATTATGCATATCCTTTTGAAATGGACATAGCAGAACTTGTGCATCCAAGAAAATTTTGTTTTCTTTCAAGCAATCCCCCTTAGGAGGGTTACACACTCTAATTACAGTGCCTCTGCACACAACTTCTTTTGGAGTTGTATTGCTTTGATCTCTAGAATATCAACATTGACAAAAGTTTTTTACTTTTGAGGGCGGACTTTTTTTTTTTTTTAAATAAGCAAAAGGTGCCTGCAAGGAAGTCTGATCATAAAAGTATGTGATACAATGGATAATTCTATATTTGATCAAAAAGTGTGATTGTAGAGAAATCTGACAAATTTCCTTCAGTGACTAACAGACTAGTTTTGAGTAAGTCCAAATATCAATATTAAACCTCTTTTGAAAAAGGGCAGCATGTATGTGAATAAGAATACATTTCTTTTCTATAAAACCATCTTTCTGGATGTATGTGTTTTTATTTTGGACATAACAGTCTCATGGTGCAATCGTACTTCTAGCTACATGACCTAAATCTCGTCATGCTCCTAGAAGATGAAGCTGTAGGAGAGCATAAAGCTCTGCTACTCAATGTGCTCTCCTCAGACCAGGAGCAGGAACACCTGTTTCGATGGGAGCTGGGCACGTCACCTAACTCTTCTGAGCTTTAGTCTCATTTATAAAATGACTATGACAATATTGTCTGCCTTTCCTATGTATGTAGAAAGCAGTATAGAGCAAACTAAACAATTTGCTAGGTTAGACAGCATCAAATGTCTGCCACTAAGCCTTTAAAAAATGCTCTAATATTTCTTTAATAACCAATAAAGCTTTTCACTTGAAGATTTAGTTTACTCTTCCTGTGAACTTTTCCTACAGCTATAATAAAAATGACTTTATGAAGACTACATTAGCATAACCTATGGTCCTATGGTTTTCTTTTTTTTTGAGATTTTATTTGAGAGAGAGAAATAGCATGAGCGGGTCAAGGGACAGAGGGAGAGGAACACAGACTCCCCAGTGAGCAGGGAACCTGACGTGAGGCTCAATCCCAGGACCTAGAGATCATGACCTGAGCTGAAGGTAGATGCTTAACCAACTCGAGCCACCCAGGCACCCCAGTCCTTTGTTTTTTCTTTCTTTCTTTTTTTCTTAATACATGAGTCAAAAAATCTAGGCTTCTAGTTATATTCCTAGGTATTTACTCCAGAGAAAGGAGCATGGGACGTCTGCAGAAAAGACAAGTACACTTATGTTGTATACTTAGATGTGTAGCAGCTTTACTCAGGATAGATCAAAAACCAGAAACAAATCAAATATCCATTAATAGGAGAAAGGATAAACACACTGTGGTACAGATGTAGCCACACGATGGAGTGCCACTCAGCGAGTAAAAGGCACGGACCACAGATACAGGCTACAACACAGATCACTCCCTCAGAGCCTATGCCGGACAAAGGAAGCCAAGCAATAAAAAGTACACGCTGTCTGAACTTATATGAAGTTCAAGGACAGGCAAAATTCATCTGTGGAGAGAGAAATCAGAACAGTGGTTGCCTTCGGGGGGTGGGGGCTGGCCAAGAAGGTGCACAGGGGAAATGAAATTATAAGGGTGGTGGAAATGTTCCAGATCTTCACTGTGGTGGTGGATGCCAGCATGTATATATTTGCCAAAACTCAATGAACCACACACTTAATATCTGTGCATTTTAATACATGTGAATCAAACCTATATGAAACAAAGGGCTTTTGTTGGGGGGAAAAATGTATGCCTTCAGCCACCCCCAGGGCTATAGAACCAACGACGCTCAGAGTCCGCGTGCCTCACCACGTGCAGCTAACAATGCAAACACGTCCGTACATTCCTGCGCTGCCTACACCTACCACCTGAGCAATGGACTGTGCATTCTCTGAATCAGAGAACACTAATGAGAAACTGAAGAAACCAGGTGAATGGTTTTGTGTTTACCTTGACTCATCCTCTGCAGGTTGGGGAAGGAACAGTTGGGAAGGGCTTTCCACAGGTACAACACCTCGATGGAGGCCAGCACACACAGTGCTTTGGTTGGAGCTTGTTTCCGAAACCTCTCTGCCTGCAGGTGGTTAGAATGATCAGCTAAGTTTGTGCCAACAAATTCAAATAAAAATATATACTTTGGAGATAGTCAAAAACGCACGGTTCGTGTTTGACACGAACAACCCCCTCCAGCAAAGCAACAAATGAGACCTCTCTAAAAAACGTTTGCCTTCTAACTTTTAATGTATCAGTAGATG